TGGATGAAGGAGTTCATTACCGACCTAGGAGTTATTCCCAATGCGTAGGGCCTGATGACTCTCTTCTGTGACAACACTGGTGCTATTGCCCTTGCCAAGGAGCCCATGTTTCACAAGAAGACCAGGCATATCAAGCGTCGCTTCAACTCCATTCATGAAAATGTTCAAGATGGAGACATAGATATTTATAAAGTGCATACGGACCTGAATGTCGCAGATCCGTTGACTAAACCTCTTCCACGAGCAAAGCATGATCAACACCAGAACTCTATGGGTGTTCGACTGATCACAATGTAACTAGATTATTGACTCTGGTGCAAGTGGGAGACTGTTGGAAATATGCCCTAGAGGCAATAATAAAATGCTAATTATTATATTTCCTTGTTCATGATAATTGTCTATTGTTCATGCTATAATTGTGTTATCCAGAAATCATAATACATGTGTGAATACATAGACCACAACATGTCCCTAGTGAGCCTCTAGTTGACTAGCTCATTGATCAATAGATGGTTACGGTTTCCTGACCATGGACATTGGATGTTATTGATAACAGGATCACATCATTAGGAGAATGACGTGATGGACAAGACCCAATCCTAAGCATAGCACAAGATCGTGTAGTTCGTCTGCTAAAGCTTTTTTATGTCAAGTATCTTTTCCTTAGACGATGAGGTTGTGCAACTCCCGGATACTGTAGGAATGCTTTGGGTGTGCCAAACGTTACAACGTAACTGGGTGGCTATAAAAGGGCACTACGGGTATCTCCGAAAGTGTCTGTTGGGTTGGCACGAATCGAGACTGAGATTTGTCACTCCGTATGACAGAGAGGTATCTCTGGGCCCACTCGGTAATGCATCATCATAATGAGCTCAATGTGTCTAAGCAGTTAGTCACGGGATCATGCATTACGGAACGAGTAAAGTGACTTGCCGGTAACGAGATTGAACGAGGTATTGGGATACCGATGATCGAATCTCAGGCAAGTAACGTACCGATTGACAAAGGGAATTGTATACGGGATTGATTGAATCTTCGACATCGTGGTTCATCCGATGAGATCATCGTGGAACATGTGGGAGCCAACATGGGTATCCAAATCCCACTGTTGGTTATTGGTCAGAGAGATGTCTCGGTCATGTCTGCATGATTCCCGAACCTGTAGGGTCTACACACTTAAGGTTCGGTGATGCTAGAGTTGTTATGGGAATTAGTATGTGGTTACCGAATGTTGTTCGGAGTCCCGGATGAGATCCCGAACGTCACGAGGAGTTCCGGAATGGTTCGGAGATAAAGATTTATATATGGGAAGTCCTTATTCGGTCGTCGGAAGTGTTCGGGGGTTTATCGGTATTGTACCGGGACCACCGAAGGGGTTCCGGGGGTCCACCGGGAGGGTCCACCTGGCCCGGAGGGCCCTATGGGCTGAATATGGAGGGGAACCAGCCCCTAAGTGGGCCGGGTGCCAAACCCCCCTAGGGCCCATGCGCCTAGGGTTTAGGGGAAACCCTAAAGGGGGCGCCCCCCTTGGCCTGGGGGGCAAGCCACCCCCTTGCCCCCCCTCTAGATCCATCTGGAGGGGGCCGGCCCCCTCTCCCTTGCCCCTATAAATAGAGGGGAGGTGGGAGGGCTGCCGCACCCTTCCCCTGGCGCAGCCCTCTCCCTCCCCAACACCTCCTCCTTCGTAGTAGTGCTTGACGAAGCCCGGCCAGAGAACCGCAAGCTCCACCACCACGCCATCGTGCTGTCGGAGCTCTTCCTCAACTTCTCCTTTCCCCTTGCTAGATCAAGAAGGAGGAGGCATTCACGGGTTATACGTGTGTTGAACGCGAAGGCGCCGTTGTTCGGCGCTTATATCGGAATCAACCGCGATCTGAATCGCCGTGAGTACGACTCCTTCATCCGCGTTCTTGTAACGCTTCCGCGTCGCGATCTTCAAGGGTATGAAGATACACTCTCCTCTCTCTCGTTGCTAGTCTCTCCATAGATTGATCTTGGTGATGCGTAGAACTTTTTTTAATTTCTGCAACGATCCCCAATAGTTTGGACATCGGAATGGTTCCGGATGAAATCAAGAGTATACCAGAGCACCGGGAGGTTACCGGAACCCCTCGGAAGGTATATGGGCCTTATTGGGCCTTAGTGGAAGAGAGGGAAAAGAAGCAAAGGAGGGGGCGCCCCCCCCCCAAGCCCAATCCGAATTGGGAGCCCCCCCCCCTTCCTTCTTCCTCCTCCTTCATTCTCTGCTAGAACCAACAAAGGGAAGGGGGAATCCTACTCCTGGTGGGAGTAGGACTCCCTTGGGGCGCGCCTAGAGAGGCTGACCCCCTCCCCCTCCTCCACTCCTTTATATACGGGGGAGGGGGGAACCTCATGGACACACAAGTTGATCATTGATCTCTTAGCCGTGTGTGGTGCCCCCATCCACCATAATCCACCTCGATCATATCGTAGCAGTGCTTAGGCGAAGCCCTGTTCCGGTAGCATCATCATCACCATCATCACGTCGTCGTGCTGATGAAGCTCTCCCTCAACACTCAGCTGGATCGAGAGTTTGTGGGACGTCACCGAGCCGAACATGTGTAGATTGCGGAGGTGACGTACTTTCGGTACTAGGATCGGTCGATCGTGAAGACGTATGACTACATCAACCGCGATGACATAACGCTTCCGCTTACGGTCTACGAGGGTACGTAGACAACACTCTCCCCTCTCGTTGCTATGCATTACCATGATCTTGCGTGTGCGTAGGAAATTTTTGAAATTACTGCGTTCCCCAACACCCCCCCCCCCCAAGATTGGTATGGAAATTATCATACAAGGATGCTGGAACATATGGATCTAACGAAATGGTAAAGTTTTCATAAATGAAGTAGCAAGTGTGAACTGCAGGAAATTCAAATTAAAGTATGACTTACAATTCTTGGAGTACAGAATAAAGTCAAAGCACCTAAGGGCTCTGCAAGATTGGATAGCAGCTTTGATGATGATCGGCTAGAGTTTAATCATTTTCAACGAAATGATTGTGACACGAACTGGTATTGGTTAGTTGCTTTTATTTTGGAAGCTTAAACTCCTTGTAATTGATTTGTAAATATTTTTAATGAAAATTACAGTAGAGCTATTATTCTACGGTTTGCGCTTAAAAAAAGAATAAACAACTGCACACAAGAGACATTCATAGATATTGAAGAAAACAAAGGCTGCCTCTCTAAATGGAGATTAAAGTTCATGTGAGTATTTAGATTGTTAGAGACATGGAAGGTTTTTTGGAATGAAGGACCATCTTTTGTTATGTGGTAGCAAGTCTACATGCTTGAACTAGAAATGATAGGTCATTGAGCTAGAAAGTAAAATACGCCTTCACCGTTTATGGATTGCCTAAGATCCTTGTGATGTCTTCCTTATTATTTGGCCAACTCCAGGCATCATGTTGGAGAAAGCAATGAGTTTCGCTCTTGCCTGAGATCCATGGTCGTTCCGATCTTCACGACTCATGGGCAGGTTGGAGGAGTCTAGCACGATTTCATTGGTTCTGTCGTGACTAGTCAAGAGCACATTCGGTCTAAGTGGTTCTGGATGCCCACGAATACAGTGATGGTCATGACCAGGATAGAGATCGGTAGTGTCGCAATTGCACCGCTTGTGGGTTGACAAACAAAATACAGCTAGGCTCCAGGCGTGCGTGAGCTGCCGATAATTGATTCACCGTCGATCTTAAGGTCAAAATGAGGGGTCATGAAGAAACAATAGAGAGAGTGGTAGTGTCCGGAGGGATCTCATAGGAAACATGGTAGTTTAACAAGGTCTAGGCCCACTAAAGGTACCTACTTATATACTCCCTCTGTAACATATCCAATGCATGTTTGTTCATCAAAGTTGTTGTTGAATAATGAGCTCGACGGACAGTGGCTCCATTTGAGCAAACATATTATGCGTACATAATTACATAATGCATTTGAAGACAAGGTCATGGCCTCATTAATCTAATGTTTTTTCCAGTTAAGGCCTTAAATACGTACGGAAATAATGATATGCCATACGTATAACTAAGAATGCATGCATACATTGAGTTACTTTGGTATGTGTGTACGTACACTACACACATTGGCCTTGGAGGTGTACCACGACCTAGGCTCATGCAGCCTTGTACGAGTTGTGTGTGTTGACCTGACCATACCCAAACAAGACGGTTATATATATCAAACTACAACTACAACATATAGTATTACGAGGAACGTAAACTTTGATGAAGCTTGCTAATTAATCCATTGCCATAGATTTCTCTTTGACTTACAGAAAAACAAATACATATGTGGTCGATCGGGTAACTGTTGGTCGCTCATCGATCAGACGGAGCAGGCAGCAGCAATGATTAAGTTGCACACCAACTCCAGTCTATTTTCCCAACGATTTAAGAATAATTGCTTGTCATGTGACCATCAGTGACTTGACAGTTACTTGTGTCCTTATTCTAGTTGGTTTTTCTCCCTCCCTTTGATTTCTTCTATTATACTTATATTAAATTCTCAGCAGTACAGTAACCAATGAAATAGAAGAGGCAGCAAAATTAAACTAAAGAAATCGAATGAACAAGAACAAACAGACAATAAAAGTAGCATTCTAAGAAAAGCAACCGGAGTGACCCTATTTTTCTTCACTGGAGACAAAGCATATGATGCAAGTGAGAGGGATAGCAGCCGCCTCCACCAATCATATGAAGCCACCTTTGCCATGATTCCCCACACTGACATGCACCACACACACCAATGAATTGAAGATCGAAATAAGAATAACAGGAAAAACAAAAGTGAAGTTTCTAACAGTAACCAGTGACCATGAACTGGATAAAAATGGTACAATCCTGTACAAAAACGGCTCTCGTACGAGATCATCATTGTATGCATGTTTTGCCCCCTGTCGGTCGGTACGTGATGAACTGTTCGACCTAGCTTCCACATGCATGCAGATGCAGGTGGAACCCGTACTTGTATTTTTCATTACATGTAGTCGCTCACATCCAGGAGATCGGACAGGTGCATGTCGAACAGCCCGGCGGCGTCGGCGCTGAAGGCGTCGATGTTGCTCGCGTTGGCGCAGAAGGTTGTCGGTGAAGCCGAGTTCACACGCCCCGCGGGGCTCGATGACGGCGTGGATACGCCGGAGCCGACGTTGCAGTTGTTGTTGTTGTTGCTACTTGTGACCGGGCTGCTCCACTGCAGGTTCGACGTGTCTGACGCCATCTGCATCAGCGCCGGCACGTAGTCGAGCTCGAGCTGGTTGTCGTAGCCCGGGAGCTGCCCGTAGTCAGAGGGCACCATGTGATCCTGGTGTAGTTGCTGCGCGGGGTTCGCGTGAACCAGACCCGGCATTTGGCACGCCGAGCTGGGCTGCAAGAACATGTCTGCGGCCGTGGCATGTTGAGGCGGCGCCTGAGATACCTGCTGCGCCATCTGCGCCTGGATCAGCCAAGGGAGGAGCATCTGCTGTTCGGTCGTGGGCTGCGAGGAGGTTGTGGTCGGGGCTGCGAGGAGGGTGGAGGCGAGGCGGAGGAGGTCCGGGTAGTTGGCGAGCGGCTCGAGGGCGCGGAGCGTGTCGAGGTCGGCCTGTGTGGGGTAGTAGGCGGCGGGCTTGAGGAGCGAGGAGAGGTCGAGGAGGTCGAGGCGCGGCGCGTGGGTGACGGGGTCGATGCCCATGCGGAGGAGGCGCTTGCGGATGTGCGTGTTCCAGTAGTTCTTGATCTCGTTGTCCGTCCGTCCGGGCAGCCTCGCCGCAATGGCTGACCACCTGAGCAATCATGCAAAAAAGCACATCAAAATCAAACTCGCCAGGAAACCGTACGCCTAGCTGCTGCTGCTGCTATAGCAACAGAGACGCCTAGCTAGTACTACGTCGAGTTGAATAATGTGAAGTGAGTAGTTCTTACTTGTTGCCGAGGATGCTGTGTAGCTGGATGATGGTCTCCTCTTCCTCGAAGGAGAAGCGGCCGCGCTTGATGTCCGGCCGGAGGTAGTTGGTCCACCGCAGCCGGCAGCTCTTCCCGCACCGCTCAAGGTCTGCACACACACAGACGCAACACAGTTAATTATTGTGTGGGATCGATCGGTGGATAACTAACTAACCAACTTGGCAGAGCAAGCAGCTGCATGAGTCCGAGTCGCTTACCGGCATTCTTGGGGAGGGTGCGCCAGTTGCCCTGGCCGTGCTTCTTGATGTAGGCGACGAGCTTCTCGTCCTCCTCCTGCGTCCACGGCCCCTTCTTCAGCCCGGTCCTGTCGCAGCACGGCGCGCGCCCCATCTAATCGCGTATACAACTGTAGAGTAGAGACGGATTGGGCTATGGAGCGAGCAGGAAAAGGCTCAGTTTGTCTCGCAGCCGCTGTAGAGGATGGAGAGGAGCTAGCTAGCTAGCCAGGAGAGTGTGAAAACTGAAAACTGGACGGATGGATGGAGGTAGAGGACGGGAGACGAAGGTGTGTGGGGGCGAGGGAAAGGCTTATAAAGGGCGCGAGCGCGACGGGCCGGGGGTGGCGGTCCAAGTCAACAGGATTCGGTGCCGGCCTTTGTTTATCGCGGCCGCGACGTGGCTCTCCTGCCGGCTGCGGGCTGCGTCTCGTCTCACGGCCACGCCCACGGCAGCGACCGTCTCGTCCGTTGGATGAGGATGGAAGGGGTAAAAAAGGGTCGCGACCGGAAGACAAGAAACGCACGCAGGGCGGGACGCCACCCCCCAAAGTGGCCAAGCAGATCCCACGGCACGCGCTGGCGTGCCACCCCGACTATCCCATCGTCGCAGGCAAGGCTAGCCCGTAGCCCCGTGCAACATTGTCTCGTGTTTTGACTGACTAGGATAATCACATGTGTCGATCCTTGCGGAGTAGAGTGCGCTTCCCTTTGCCAGTTCCATCAGGAACATGCCATTTTTACCGATGGTGGTAGAATCTAGTACTAGACTCCATCAGGCTGAACGTACGAGCTAGGAAACAAAACACAATGATGGAGTGAAAAACGGTCAACTGTACTGTATTTTACTTTTACTACTACTATAGACCAAGGATGTACTGGGCAGGGTAAATTTCTTGGCGGGCAAAAACATCCGATCCAATCCAATCCAATCAATGGATATTGACTCGTGTTTCGCCACTCCCGTCGGCTAGCTGGCGTTGACGAACGTCCCCGCCCCGCCCTGCCTTGTGGCGCCCGCCCTCCTGCGCCACCTCGCCCCGCTGACGGAACGCAGCGCCGGGGACGGACGGCCCAGACTCGTGCCGGCCCGGCCAACTCTTATCTCTAGCTCGCCCTTGTGGTCGAGGAACTGCACGGACGCTGCTGCGTGGAAGGAAAACCGCACTGCCCTGCTCCCACGGCCACGGGCCATGGCCATGGCAGCAGCAGCGGCGGCGGGAGGGGCCAGCAGCACCAGCGATAAACTGGCAAGGCGGCAGAGGCCCGCGTGCAGCTTTCCTTTTAATTCCTGTGCATGGGCCTGCGCCCGCACCGCCTTCCCGCCGTACGTCCTCGCTACCTGCCATGCCGACCGGCCACATGACAGTCTCGCCCCGCCGTGGTCCGTAACCAAAGAAGATCTGACTAAAGGAGGCGCGCCACGCGCATGTGTTCGAAATCGAATTCGGGACGGACGCTCTTGCTCGGGGGCCTCGCCCTCGCCCTCGTGTGTGTTTGAGCCGACGTCGACGTCGAGATCTATCTGCGGATCATGCAAGATCCCGACGTGGCCACGTTTTTGCTTCTTTTTTTGCTCGTTTTTGGATTTGCGTCGTGTAAAACGACCGATGGATCGATTTTCGCGCGGAGGTTTTTAGAGGCTCCCCACGTACGTCGTGTGCCGGCCGGCGACCGTGTGTGTGGCTGACAAGTACGCGGGTGTGCACAGGTGTGCCACCTGCTCATGTGGTGTGAGGGCTCGTGTGCTTCTTTTCGGGCAATTGCGACTCGTACTTGGTGTCCCTTCACAACCAGCAGGTGCGGTTTCTTCGCTGATATTACTAGTTAATATGTAAAGCGAAAACAAATGTCAAAAAAGTTTGCCCAAGCATATCAGAGTGTGTGTAAAGGAAAATGAAAGTGACATCAAGCCAGGAAAATGCGACCTTGGAGATAATATCATATTTGTACTGCCTTACTGTACGGATGCTATCCACGAGTGAACGAAGCATGAACTATTGATGTCGCAAGTGAAGGCTCATATATGGAGTAGTACAAAACAGCATGTACGTACATACCCTGAGTGGAGTACCTAATAATATTACTAAAAAGATTACTACGTTCCGGTTAAATCACCCGCAAAGAAGAAGATCTTAGTTAAATGGGTGAAAATGAAACATACTTGGCATTTAGCATCGTCTTTTTGTTGTCCTAGTTCCATGAAACACGCAAAACTCACTTGGTACTCCGCTAAGCTCTCTCTCTTTGGTAGGGACGCGTGTCTGCCAATCGAGCTTCTAGTGTCCATGTCAATTGACCTTTTGTGCATCACAATAATTGCTCGACACGGCCGGCACACATCAAGCCACTCGTACATGCCAGTACAACACGAGACCACGCTTGAATGAAGTTTTTGACAGTCTTACGTTTTCCTCCAGGACGGAGCATTAATTTGTTGATTTAATTAATGTTCAAATATAAGGTGACGCAAAACAAGCTACTAGTAGCGCAGACGAAACCAACGAGCAGGTTCAGTTTAGCTGATGAGCACATCCACAAATAGAAGATTAATTTGGAGAAGGGACGAGAAGAAAGCCAAAGTGTGCCGCTTACGGCAAAGTTAACAATGCACAAATATCTCATCCACTCCATCAAACGCGCAACGACTAAAACAGTCAATGCCCTATAGAATGCTTGCTTGCTTGCGGTGAATACTAATGTAATAAGATTAATAATGAACTCTGTTGCCCAACTACAAACCTGTACCGCGCTCCCCTGATTAGCCAGCCCTCCAAACTAAGGCACCCATCTTAATAATTAGTTTAAGCAAGAGGGCGGGGAACCAAGTCCAAATTAGGCAAGGCGATTAGTATGCAGGTCGCTCCACTAACGGTACGGATTCACACAGCGACATTATAATTTTGGGAGGCAGTGGCCGCTTTTGGCATACGTTTCCAAATGCAGACATCATATACGTATGTCATGAAAATAACCCCGCGTCCAATAAAACAGTGCTGTTTCGGACTAGTTGGCCGACCGTCCTTCTCTTAGACTTAATTGGGGAGCATGGGCAATGCATGCATGCATGCTATCAATGGTCTACATGCAATCACTGTTTCAGCTAAGATTACATGATTGCATGTAACCTTTTATTTACCACATACTAGTACTTTGTAGTGCTCAATTAATTGAGCATGCGTGATGAGCTCAATTGTACTGTACGTGCCAATCGACTGGTCCGAACGAAACTGGAGGCAAAAATTACCGAGAGGTGATTAGACTAGCGTGCAGACGTAACGACGACAGCGCCTCGCCGTGTGAGCGCACCGTGCACACCTGTGAAGTGCCAGCGAGCAACGCTTGCCGATGCTTCCGGGGATCGACCGGCGTACTTTAACCTGTGTCCGTACACGGATCGCTATTAGCAATAGGGAAAGTATATATAGTGATAAAAGTACGGGCAGTGAGATCACACTCTCGCGCAGCTTCCGCTGGCGATCGTTGTTCATACGGCAACGCAGATACTACGCCAGTACGTACGCATATCGCATATATATGCATACGTGTACGCATTTCCTTTTTTGCCGGGAATAAACCTACCGAGCTCGCTACGTAGCTATAGCTAGTAGATTTGCTTCAAGACTTGACAGGTCGTCGTATACGTATTACTAGTAGATAAGACGAACAAGGTACGTAGACATGCATGTTACACCATTTGTTAATCCGCATGAGATACACTGATACATACACATGGCGTATACAATTAACCCACCTACCTAGCTACTTAATCAGGTAGAGCTTGCACACAGAGATAACCTAGCCAGCTAGCTAGATTTGGTAGTAACTTAACTCTACTTATAATCAACATATAAGCTGCATACGCCTCCATGTCTCTCGCCATGGAGACACCGGCCCTCTTCCACGCACTAGCTACTCAAAACAAATCCCCAGCAGTTTTCAACACACGCCCTCAAATTAACAACCATTAACCCGCCCACACGAAGCTCTTAAGTATTCCCGTAATACCTGATCGGGGGGTCGCGTGGCGCGCGATCAGGATTCCATGGCGTATCCCCTGCCCGAAACGGAGCTCCGCTGACGTCGCTCCGTTTGACGGACGGGCAGATGGTTGCTGCGACTGCGAATAACGCGACGCACACACGCGCCTACGTGTCCCCCGGCCTCCAATAGTCTAGGCGCTACGGCGTCCTTCTCTATAATACGCGCGCGTGCATAGTTAATTCGCGGTTGGGTGATCCGGGAGATCTCCGTGAGGTCACCCCGGTCTCGCCTGCTTCATCCTAACATTGACGTTTATCCTATTCAAATCCCTCTCATAATTGTGTATTTTTAGCCTGGGGTCCGTGGGTTTGATTGTTTGGACGCAAAAGGCACCGGATTGGAAGAGCAAACCGCGCGTTAGATACTGTAGATTAATGCGGAGCTGGATGGCCAAGGCAACTCTGACTTTGTCTTGCTGCACTTTACGCGGATGTGATCGCGTTTTCTACTCCGGGATGGTCGATTAGCACCTGCGATCACGGATCAGGGTTTGCCACGTTGGAACACGATCAGATCGACCAAGGTAAAAGTAAAATGGTCCGCTAGCTGCTGTGCGCATCGGCCAATTGATCTTTACCTCCATCGTTCGTGGTATAGGGCATCCATGCATAGTTAAGTGTAAGTGTATTATCTGAACCAGATTCTGCTAGAACATTCATTTGGTGATCAGGCATGAACATGATTGAGAGGTTAGTTAATTGCGATAGCTGTGACGATCTCCTATACTATTTCTTTTCTTTTTTGGCATCTCTGCGAGCCTGTGATCACTGTTCATGCGTGCGGTCCGTATAAAACTATGGTATTTGCATGGGGGTCGAGGTACGTACATACGTGCATCCATGGATGAGGTGTCAACAAACTGTCAACTCAACACACAAACTGGCGCCTCCGTTGCATCACGCCCCAGCTGCTCCATATAAGTATTTGTCACTGGCCAGGATGAGGCGCCCGTGGCTGTGGTTGCGTTTGGTTGTGACCTGGATCGCCTCCGCCTATGGTTAGCAAGAGTAGATGGGCGGGAAGCATTGTTATTTCATGTGATGGAACATGCATATCGTACTTGCTCCCTGG